TGGTCTCTTATTGCGAAAGGCTCTGGTGTACGTTTCGTTGTGTGTGAATTCTAGTTCGTGTAATATTTAAATATACTGATTGGTTTAAACACACAGTTAATAAAACTAAAACTTATGCTAAGTTTTATTTTCTCTATGACTTTAAAAAAAAAGATTCTTCTAGAAAACATTGTGAATAAGAATACCTTATTTCTAGCTTGTCTGAGAAAAATTGCGTGGTTCATGCTATTAAAACTTTATTTCGCAATCATAAGTAGGCACAATTTAATCTAACTTTCTGTGGTTTCAACTATATTTTTAGAGAAAGTAATTTGACGTTGAATAGAAAAAAATATGTGCGATCACGTAATTTATCGTATACCGTACGATATCAACCCAAAGTAATAACAATGTATTACTAACTAATTATAGTTTATAAAAACATTATATTCAGTTTTTTCCTGATAAATGAAAATATTAAAAAATAAAACAATTCGAAATATTGAGAGTATTTGGAGATTAAAAAACTAAAGGGAGCTTTATTATAAGTACTCTCTTCGTACAGTCATCTTGACATTGGACAAGTATAAGAAAGCAATAACGTTGTACAGATTTCATTAGAGTTCATCTAAACAGAAATATAATTTTTCTAAAAGAATGATTTTATATATTTAAAATGAATTTGGATCCCGAGATTTAAAATGTTATTTGTATGTTTCAACGTATAGAGATTTCTATAACTTAGTTTTATTCAAGAAATGAATATATTTTCAGTTTGTTTTTAATTACAGATCGTTATTGCAAATTTCTAAAGTTCACTGACAATTTTGCAACGTTATTGTTAAATTCATGAAATCGGAATTGTATTTTTTTTTCTTCTGTAAAAAGAATATCAATTTTCTTAATCCATTTCTCGTGATGTCAATCTTTTTGTTTTGTTTCAGCATTATTGTGTTGTTGTTGTTGTTAGTTTGTATGCAAAGCTACACTATAAACTATCTGTGCTCTATCCACCACTGGGAATCGAACCCTGGATTTTAGGGTTGTAAGTCCTGAGACTTACTTCTGACCCACTGGGGAACTTTTGGGCTTTGAATTCGTTCTTTTGATGATATTGTAAAATAACCAGTAAATCAATCGTATATTATATTTATTTAAACACAACAATTTTACCATGTTTTTTCTATGCAAAGAGCATAGACTAAAGAAAAAGCATTTAGTCAAAGCACTTACCGCCAGCTATTGACTACTATTGTGTGACATAGTGAGATGTTCTTACAGTGCAACAACGTAACCACGCCCCAAATAACAGATTCGTAGTCTAGCTATGCTAATAACTAGTCCATGCCCGGACCGTTTTACAAAGAGACCATTGTGTGAATGTTAACACATTTGATTTCATCGACTTTAAACATTAAGCCACAGATTATCTATTGATACTACTGATTTAAATGGTCCAGGATGGATAGGTGTATTTAATCAAATGCATCAACTATTCTAAGTATAAAAATACGAAACCTTATAATACGAGCAGTTTCGAAAGGACTCCTTTTTTTCTTGGGGGGGGGGGACAAAGTGGAAATTCTAAATACGAATACCTTGTCCACAAAATGGTAGAATTTACTACCCGCAAACCTCGGAGTGAAACTAGTTTTTCTTTAAGAAATTGAATATTCAGAATCTGTTATATGAATGAATACATCTGTCTGTTTGTCTGTCTGCTTGAAAGCTAGTCTATAGAAGGACGGGTTTGTCTGCGTGATAGGCTTGTTTGTCAGTCTGTATTTGTCCGAAAGCTAGTTTGTGGGCGGGTGGTTGTGTTTGTCTGTCTGTCTATATCTGTGTGAAAGCTAGTCTGTAGAATAGTGTCTCAGTTTGTTAGTCTGTTTGTTTGCATGCCAAAAATCTAGCCTCTGTATGAAAAACAGAAAATGAGGGTTTCCGATGTGCTGTCATGTAGGAGTACTCACGCATATACACAAATATAATACGTCCACTAGTATTTACACGCCAAAGGGCAATTTTTGCTTTGCTGTATTTCTCCTCAGATTTCTCATAATGAGCGAATCACGTGTTTTTCTTGGCAAATAGTTTTGATAAAGTAGTTTTTATGATTAACCTCATTTGTCTCTACATTAAAAGTGGTACAAAGTTCCAGTCGTTGGGTGGCGTTTTAAAAATGCATATGTCCAATGATAATTAGTGGTGCGATATTTTTTATACGACTAGTACTCTTCAATTCAAGTATCGTAAGTTATGTCTCGAACCATCTTCAAACATATATTTATTGTTATTATTATTTTTTTTACTTTATCAACCATTTTAGTAGTTAATTGTTTATTACGTTTAGGAGAGTTTTTGTTTAACTTGCCATTTCATATTGTAGTCAAAAATTAACGATCTAAGTTTAAGATAAATATCACTTTGTATCATGTTCATCACTAACGTTGCCTACGCCAGAAAAAAAACATTTACATCAAACCACTACACTTAAGTTTGAAACAAGTCCTCCAGTGTGACAGCAATAAGTTTACGGACTTGCAAAGCTAAAACCGCGGTAGACACAACATATAATCCAGAGTGGTTTTGCTTTAAGTAACACAAACAAACAATCAAACAAGAAACGAAAATCCAAGTATACCAGTTAATATATACATACAAAGACACGCACACACACACACACACACACACAGTAGCATTACTTTCAAAAGTAGGCGGACGAAGGATGATTGCATGTGTTGAACAACATACACTGTGACTCAATATTGTTGTTATAATGAGAGGCAACCTTCCCGTGTATGTTAACCCTATGAATATGCATAAATATCATATATATATATTCATTTGTGTGTTTCAAAGAAAAACAAATGTTTCATAGTCTATAAAGATATGTAATAAACGGCAACTCCCTTTGTTTTGTTTTTAATTTTCAGACACCGAGTAGGGATTTCATGTTGTGTTACATTCTCTTTCCGTTAAATGTCAAATTTGCCATCAAACATGTGTGTGTTCTTTAAAAACATGTAGGTGTGATTACAGTATGGTGTTGAATTGTAGCCCTATTCTTTCATTACATCTTTTCACAGTTCTGTACTTGTGTTAGCACATTACTGTACCTTTTCTTAAGTATTTATCTTATTCCGGCTTATTGTGATGAAATGACTTATGTTTATTTACTTTATGGTAATATGTTATTAAACGGTGGACAATGTAAGCCTTCTGGTCGTATTCTTTTACTGTATTTTGTTTAAACTATATATTAACTTAGCTTCTTGTAACTCCATGGCGTACAAAGAAAATGGCATTATTAAATGGAAAATAAAAAGGCGTACGTCAGGGAAATTAGTTTTAATATAAATATTAGACATTTTCTTTCCTTACTCATGTGGATCATAATAACTTACCTGAAGTTAAATTAAGTCTTAAATATGCATGAGATTTGAAATAACGAGGGTTCCACTTCAACTTTGTGCACGTTGGTTCCTGGTTTCTAGCATATAAGAGAAATCGTCAATTTACTTAGAATAAGTTTATTAAATATAACAACACTTTTTTTTTAGTTAATGCAAGAAAATCGCGTGAATGAAAGCAGATGCCTTGACTCACCAGCAGCTTGGAGTTATTAATCAATTTTCATCTTTATTTGTTTTTTGATTACTATCTCTAAATCACTTCTGATAGTTTTGGTTAACACACAGAGATATTACTGGCATATTCTGGTTTTCTGATATATATATCATTTTCTAAAGATATTTTACGGTTCCTTATTACAGGTACCCAGATTTGTTTATTTGTAGATTCCTACAGTGTATACAGCCTTATACGAAGGTTTTATCGTAGAACTTGGATGTGAAATAGAGCCAGGTTTGCTGGTAATCAAAACTTGCATACGTACGTACATGTATTTCTGGTATTAAAAAAATGTGTGTATATTTTTTGTGGAATTCTAAAATTAAATTGAACCAAGGAAAATGTGGCTTAACAGCTCATCTACCACAAGTTACAAAAATAAAGAAATTTATCATCAATCTTAGAGAACACTTATCTACCTTACATATTAAACTTCACACTGGTTATCCGCCTTACAGTATACCCCATATTGGCTATCTACATCCCCTAGTATACCCTATAGTGATTAACTACCTCATGTTATTCCCAAACTGGTTATCCGCCTTGCAGTATAGCCCATACATAGTATACATACAGGGTGGTGAGAAGGCGGATCACAATATTTACTATCAGAAAGAAACTGTAACACAGACAGAAATAACTGACTACAACTTATTTACCCTGTACTGATTATAGATATATATACTCAATACGTATTACCTCCAAAACGATACTCCATACTGGTTATCTAAATATCGTAATAGTTATGTACCGTACATAGTGTATATTTATAAAGGATACCATGCTGATTCAGTCGCTCATTCAACATAGAGGTTGATATGTAGAACGTTCAATACTGTATAGACGGACTTTCAGGCAATGTATTTAAATATATTGTTGTACAAAGCTTGGATTAACCATGTTCAAATGTTATTGCCTTTGTTCCTAGACATAAAGCCGGCTTCCAAGTGAAACTCATAGCTACTTTATAGTTAACCATCATTTTCTGCTGGTAAAAAGTTATCAAAGTGCAATAGGTCAAACACCTATCTTTAGTGTCATTTTCTGCTGGTAGAGTAGCTGACGAACCTAGGAAAGAACAAACAATTTATTACAATGCCATTTTCTGCTGGTAAAAAGTTATCAAAGTGCAATAGGTCAAACACCTATCTTTAGTGTCATTTTCTACAAACAGTTTCTCTGATTAAACTATATAAATTACAACTAACTTCAATGTCATTTTGTGCTGGTAGTGTAACTAACACCGATATTAATTGTTTGTTCTTTCCTAGGTTCATCAGCTACTCTATCAGCAGAAAATGACACTAAAGATAGGTGTTTGACCTATTGCACTTTGATAACTTTTTACCAGCAGAAAATGGCACCGATATTAATTGTTTGTTCTTTCCTAGGTTCATCAGCTACTCTACCAGCAGAAAATGACTCCAAAGTTATTTACTTCTTTTCTGTAGTTTCATTACGCTACCAACAAAAATGACACGGAATTTTTATCAGCTACATTACTTGCAGAAAATGTTATTGAAGGTATGTACTTGTTTGTATTTCTGTAGTTTCATTAGTTACTATACCATCAGAAAACTACACTGAAGATAGTTGTTTGTCATTTTGTAAATTTATCTGTTAGCTTTTTGTTTGGTTTTTCAGTTTCTTTAATTAAACTACCCTCAAAAATAAACAAAGGTAGTTGTTTATATTTTTCTAAATTTATTAGCTACTAGTGAAGTACCCGGCTTCGGCTTCGCTCGGGCTATTAGGTTGATATATGCTAGATGACTTATATCAGTGTATGTATATTCTGAACCCACTTTAGCATAAAATTATAAGCTATATGCTTTTGTTGCTAAGCTACATTACATAAAAGCCATTGTTGGAACGCATTGTTACCAAAACACTGGCTTTTCTATGTATTAGAAGTTATTATATAAGGAACAACTTCTTTTAATGTGGTTTTTTGGCTAGCTTGCATTATTAAAAAGATGCGCATGCACACGTGGATAAGATAAGTAATACCCAGATGCACATCCTCAGGATCCGCTTAGTATGGGGGCAAAATTTCAGATTTCTAGGCTCTTTCCCCTTGGAGTTATGGCGGTCACATATTCTTTTCTAGGTGTTTTTTTTCCTAGTTTGACTCATAATAACAATCCGATGCGCGCACGCACGTGGATAAGTAATAATACCCAGGTTCACACCCTCGGAGTCCACTTAGTATGTGTACAAAATTTAAGGTTTCTAGGTTCTTTCCCCTTAGAGCTATGGTGGTCACACGTACATAGACAAATAGACACGCTCTTTTATTATTATAGACTAACGAAAGTACCCTGTTTCGCTTGTGTTAGTAAGTTGATATATTCTAGATGACTATGCCAGTGTGTATTCTGAACTTATTTAAGCATAGAGAAACAGTCAAAATATTTTAAACATTTTTATTTCACAGAAACATAGAAACACTTCTATTTTATGTGATTTTTCGCTAGCTTGCCTCATTAAAAAGATGTGCGCGCGCACGTGGATAAGATAAATTATAATTCTCAGGTGCACACTTTCAGGGTCCACTTAGTATTTTGTAATATAAGAAACCATTTCTTTTCTATGTGGTTTTTCGCTAGCTTACCTCATTAAAAAGATGCGAATGTGTGCACGCACTCGGATAAAATAAGAAATAATACACAGGTACACACACACTCAGAATCCACATAGTATGTGTGCAAAATTTTAGGTTTCTAGGTTCTTTTCTCTTGAAGTTATCGCAGTCACAGTACTTTACTATATGGTTTTTCGCTAGCTTGCCACATAAGAAGACGCTCACGTGCATGCGCACACGCACGTGAAATAGCAATAATACCCAGATGCACACCCACATGGTCCACTTATTATGGGTGCAAAATTTCAGGTTTCTATATTCTTTCCTCTTGGAGCTATGGCGGTCACACACACACATACAGACCCACAGACATATCCTTTTATTATTATAGATACGCAGCAAAAATAACATAGATTGTCGTAGGAAATAAATGCTTGTCACAGAAAATGATATAGAAGGTGGTTGTTTGTTCCTTTATAGTTTCATCAGCCACATTTCCAGCATGAAATTACATCGAATATCGTTGTTTATCCTTTTTTAGTTTCATCAGATACACCAACAGTAGAAAGTGACGCAGAAAATAGTATTGTTGTTTTGTAAATTGATCAGTTATTACCAGCAGATAATGACTGAAGTAGTTTGCTTGTCCTTTTGTAGTTTCATTATACCAGCAGAAAATTACACCGAAGATAGTTTTTTTTTGTAGTTTGATCAGGTGTACTACTAGTAGAAAATGACACAAAAGATAGTTTTGTTCTTTAGTAATTAGATCCTTTTCCTACCAGCAGAAAACAACACTGAAACTTGTTGTTTGTCCTTTTGTACTTTCATTAATTACACTTCCAGCAGCAAACTGAAACACAAGGTAGTTTTGTACTTATGTAGTTTCTTCAGTTGCACTACAAACAAAAAATGACATCGAAGACAGTTTGATCAACTATACTCAGAAGAAAATAACACCAAAGATACACATTTATCTTGTTGTTGTTTTTTAGTTTGATCAGTTACTACCAGCAGAAAATTACATCAAAGTTAATTGTTTGCCCTTTTGTAGTTTCAATAATTATACTACCAACAAAAAAATTACCCCTAAGATAGTTCTTTGTCCTTTTTTTTATTTTGATCAGTTACACTATAAACAAAAATGACATTGAAGGTATTTGTTTGTAGTTTCATTAGTTACTCTACCAGCAGCAAATGAATTAAAGGTAGTTGTGTTACCTTTTGTTGTTTGATAACTTACATTGCCGGTAGGAAATAATACCGAAGATAGTTGTCTGTCCTCCTCTAAATTTATCAGCTATACTTGCTGTACAAAATGACATCAAAGTTTCTTACTTGTCTTTTTGTAATATGGTCAATTACACTGTCCACGGCAAATGACAAAGAAGGTATAATAGTTATTTGTTTGTTGTTTCGTATTTCGAAATATTAATTTGTTTAAATATAGAAATAACTAATACTTTTCCTGTGTATTAATACCCTTATTTTTGAATAATATACTGTTTATAGTAAAATATTGTTTACTGCCTCATTCTTGTGGCTTGGCATGGCCTATGTGTGGTTATGGCACTTGACTCGTAAACTGCGGGTCGCGGGTTCGAATCCCCGTTACACCAAACATGCTCTCCCTTTCAGCCATGAGGGCGTTATAATGTTACGGTCAATTCCACTATTCGTTGGTAAAAATTATCCCAAGAGTTGACAGTGGGTGTAGTTGACTAGCTGCCTTCCCTCTAGCATATCACTGTTAAATTAGGGATGACTAGCGCAGATAGCCCTCGTGTACCTATGCGCGAAATTCACAACAAACCAATCTCATTCTTCTTGTTAGTCTACCACGCACGCAGAAGCCCTCACACATATAGTTATGTCCCCTGAGACTTTTTTTTTGTATTTCTTATGAGTTTTGTCAGTTGTAATCATTAAATTTCATAGTGTTGCCAAAAACAAGGATTATTACTGGTTCGCTACATTCCCCGACATCCAGCTAGATTTGCGATCATTAAAAACTTTCAATTTTCTTCCTTTCTGTATTCTTCCTCACTGTAAACGCTGTAGGATTCCTATATTAACAGCAACAGATCATTATCATAAAAAGTAATCTACTTTATGTACTCAATGAGTATCTGTCTTTCTAATAATGTTCTTCAGCCAAAAATTTCCCATAGTTTTACTGATATTTTTTCCCAAGAACTTCGTGCCGCAGAGATATCGATTTTAGACACAAACTTACAAGTTTATTCACTCTACATATACTAAGCAAAATGCTGGTAGTTTAAATAACTTCGGTTTTATTAATATTTGGCTAAATAGTTGAGGAACGAATGGACACAAGAAGGCATAAAAAAAAGGTAAAATACTAAACGTATAAATTACATGACAACTGGTTTATATTGTTTCCTCAAAGACAGTGGAACTCGTGGGGCCAATGTAGACTTGAACCCACCAATAATTTGGCTAGAAAATTTTTTTAACGCTTCTTTTGGGTATTTTTGTTACCGAACGACGTTATTCGCTATCAATATTATCTGGCGGTCAAGTAATGTCACTGTTATATTAATTGTAAATCATGCGGCTGATTCTTGCAAATTTGTGTATTTTGTGCACTCATTGTAGTCCAGCTATTATATACACGGTTATGAATTTAATAAATTTTCCGTCTGTATGAATTAAAACGCGTACAATACTTATATATAAATAAAATCGTTTCCTTACCTTGCATTTTCATTGGTGGGCAACAAGCTACCGCTTCACGTTTGTAATTTTGTATCGTATCGTAGTTTATTTTTAGGCTTGTATCGCAAATGATAATAAACCATGAGAAAGCGCGATGAAAACATTTGTTTTAGAAGTATGATATTTGTGTGAGTTCGTTTTCAACATAACAAAAATTAAAATTTTACACTTATTACGTTACATTATGTAATTAATATTAAGTTATTTCAAAACACATCCTTTGTAATATTTGTCCTTTGGTGGGTCAAAGATAAGTTTGAGAACTTTCAACGCAAATCCGAGGTTCGGTTCCCCGTGGGGACAGCGCAGCTACATCACTGTGTAGCTTTGCACTAAAAAGCAACCAATCAATTAAATGTAATGTTTGTAATGCGCATGCGTAGAAAGTGGTAATTTACGCAGTCAAATTTTTACTTTCGTGACATTTCATTATGGTTTCCTGCCCCACCCTGTTCCTTCCTCTCAGGACTTTAACACTTTGGTTAGCAGAGTGTTCGATGATATTTACTTATCAGGACAACAACTTTTCTACATAGTAGTGTCATTTAATGGCCCAGGCGTATCTCACTGGGTGACGTGTCAGACAGTGGAGCTGAGGCTCTGTGGTTTGCGCTCTATTACCACCTTAAAAACATACCGCACTCTCCACTTTGTGGCCGTGGATGCGTTACAAGAGTGAAGGTCAAATCCAACTGCTTGGTCTGAGAAAAATAGCCCATGAGTTGTCGGTGGGTGTTGTTGACTATCTGCCTTCTCCTTAATGTATTACTTCAGAATTAGAGACGTCTAGTAAAGCTTTGCATGAAATCTAACAAACAAATAAACAATCCATTTAATATCAGGTCACGTGACTACTACTTTCACTCATAGGCTCTTAGAATTACTTATGTAGTCTTCTTCTATTGACTTTATAGTTCCTCTACCCGCTTCTGGAACAATTGGACTAACTTGCTGGTTTCCCAAGCCATCTGGAAGATTAACTAAAAATAATTCAGATAAAAATATATAGTAATAAGTAATTTGTGTTAAGAATAAACTTCATGTTATTAACCTTTATTCCAATTGTTATTTGAAAATGGCTCATATAAAATTGATCAAAAATACTCTTCGTCAACTTAATCTTGTACACGTCATCATAGTTGTCGTTCGTGCAATCTGATGATATAAATATTGATTCAACCACTACTGTATCTCTCATATCCCAGCTGGTTTAATGACCCCTGTTATTGGACGAAGAGACTCATTGGCACTGAATGTAGCAGATATAATGTGGTTCACATATTTTTGTACATTCTTCATTATTTTCGCTCATGAGTTATTAGAATTATACGCACACATACACAATGGCCCAGAATAACGTAAGTATGCGAGGGTACTGATCAAAGGACGGGTCCCCATAATATCCGTTTTTAGCTCTGAAATCTAGTGAACAATAAAGTACTGAGAAAAGAAACAGCAAGTGGCGCTTTTAGTAGTCCCAGTACAGCCTTACCTCCCAGCAAGTCAATATAAGGATTTGTGTAACGTGTCTATCGATGCAGGGTGCATATTATGAGTATTATAACGATTTCCGCCAAAAATTCACACATTTACACACAAACGGACTAGACTACATCGAGCACATGCACGTACCATCATAACATTTGCGCAGTATGTATAATGGGACATATATGAAAATGAGCGTTATATGTCCTCGTAGCGTAGAGACAGTAAATATATCGTCTCTGATGCTGAAAACTCAGCAACTGTTACATCTAATATTCACATACAGTGTGACATCTCTGGCATCACATACACTCTGACATTCATACTACTGTGACATCTAATATTCATACTCTGTTTTTCAAGACTGACCGGCAGACATGTCTTGATATGCAAAATGTGACATCGATCCATCGATACTTGCAGTGTTTCTGGACACTTTCAAGATCACATCACTGACGCAGGGTGGACTAGTTGTCCTTATGATACCGATGATTAATATTCCAGTGACAACATAACATGGACATCGTGGATTTGAATATTTCACATCTCTACATACTCTTTCATACCACATCTGTGCTTGATCCTCGCTACAGTCGTGTTTTTTGTGGGTTACACAAATAATGTTATGTTTTCATGTATGTGTTTCTTCCTCTAATTTCTTCATTTATAACACCCTGATAAAGAAAACAAAGGTGGGTCTTGTAGTCGGTATATGTCAGGCTATCATGTGTCCTGTGTAGTACAGTGATTGGAATTCATAATAGTGCCTAAAACAGCCCTTATGAGAACCCATCCTTTGTTTATTCACTGATTTTACTACCCTCTCATGCAGTTAAAAGTATTGTTTGCTCCATGGCGCTTGTGTTACGTTCATTATCCACATCACGCAAGATAACACAACTAATTCAAGATGATAAATAAGCACTGCGAAATCTGTTTTATCTGTTTTGACAACCAGATTTTGTTTTTGAATCTATATTTAATAACTCCTCTAGTTTATTTCTTGCATTTCGAATGGAAGAAGTTTCATTAAAATGCTGAGCCTAGTAAAAACAATATTGAATTTAATTAAAGTAATTTATCAGTCGAAACTGATTAATTTATCTGACAGTTTTTCAAAACTGGATTGGATAATATAATGGTTAATGCATATATATAAGGTAAACAACTTTTAAAAATAGCTTATACTTGTATTTACATTATATATATACCGGGCGTGGTCCACTAGTTAGCGTACCGGACTGCGTATCGGAATGTCCAAGGTTCGAGCTTGCGATATACCGTTGCAAAAAGTCCTCATTTTCAGCTAAGAGTGCATTATAAAATGGACGATCAATCCTCTACTCAGTTAAGAGCAGCTGTACAATCGGCGAGCACTGTTGACTGGTTTCCCTACCTCTGATCAGCAGCTTTAAAGCAGGGAAGGCTATATATGAACTTTGGGGTTCCTGATATTTCCATTTAGCCAACGCTAAATGTATCGCTCAGATTGATAAAACACAGAAGGTTTGAAATTTCAACTCAACACAAAGTGATCTAGGCTATGTTTTGCAAACATAACTTGACCTTTTAAGTTTTCAATCACATATAAACGAATGTAAAATGAGAATAAGATGAGCATACGTTCCCTGGAGAGAGAGAGAGCACACATAACCCATTGTGTAGCTTTGTGCTAAAACAACAACAACAAATTCTCAAAGAAAATATGCCCTCATATACAAATATTTCAGGTCAGTTAAATAACTGGTATAAAACTATAAATGGTAAAAATTAACAATCAAAGCAAATTTTCTATTGAATTTCAAAATTGAAAAAGCGTGAGAAGATTCTTTAAGCATGCCGTACTTGTAGCAAAATGAAAATGTTGCTTTATGCAGATCATTTGAATGAATTAACATCATAATAGAAAGGATTAATATTCCGACCCGAAACACCGGAAGTGTCTGCACGAATTTCAACAGAAAAAGGTATTCATTCCTAGTATATTGATTTTCCCATTTTTGGTAACAATTTATTAAAAATGCAAATTTTAGTGATTATAAAGAATTTGACAATCTTGTCATTTGTTCAGATTAATGTACTTGTAACGTCAAAATTACCAGATGGTTAAAGTTTTAATTTTGACTTTAGATGATGTGATTCATCACGTTGAGACACAAATGTCTCTCACAAAATTAAGTAGTTTTGAAACTGATAAATGTGGTGTAGTTTCTAAAAAGAGTTGTATATATTTTATTATCAGGTGTTAAGAAAAACCGTAATATTAATAACGAAAATTATTTAACGAATACAGCTAATATACAGTAATATCTTGAAAATGGTTAATATAGATATATGAAATTTAGAATGAGATTAACGTTTCAAACGAACCACTTTTCTTCTGGACCAAATAAAGGGAAAAACGATGGGTTCGTATTGAGGTTCACAGGCAACTTCCTGTTGGGTGGGAACCAATAAGAGGTAAATAGTAAACATGTATTGAAACACAGTTGACAGAAGAGATTAGAGAAACTTTCTGGTTGGTTGAGAAAAAACAGGAAATGTGTGTAAGTGTATATGTGTGTGTGTGTTTGGGGAGACACAGGTAAACTCATGGGTCAAAAAATAGTAAGGTAATGTCTTCCAATAAAACTAACCTGTTTATAAATTTCAAATACAGTGAATTTATATAAAAGCTCACTGTCCTTTACGATCATGACTACTCACGTCACTAAGTTACTTAAATTTCTCACGCTACTTATTATTTCAAAACACAGGCACTGGTCAGGTAGACTGTTTGTCGCCTGATCAGTGAAAGTGAGTTTTCTCGGGGAACTCCCGTTTCTCCTCACATCTAATTATAGGTATTGGATTTTTAGATTCCCCGTTGCCCTGAAGGACCATAAGTCCTACAAAGACCGTTTTTTGTTTTGAGAACTTCAGGGCTTCATTTCACTTCAATTATCTCAAACACCAAGTTCAGCCCTTTACCTACACCAAGAGCAGGGAGAAGAGGAGCTAAAAAGCTTCTGAGCACCCCCGGTAATCTTCCGAGGCTTCACCTCGGAAGATTTCATACCAAAATAACAGCCACGATGTTAATGACCATGAACACTAGAATTATTGGTCGGAGAAGACGGAGATATTATAATCTTACAACCTGAAATAAGATGTCTATAATGAGGGAAAATGAGAAGCCATGGATATCATAAGCTGAATATCTGACATTAAATATCTATAGGATGGAAAATGAGAAGACTTGAATATCATAACCTGAATATTTTAAATAAATAATTATAAGTTTGAAAATGAGAAAACACAAGTACCACAATCTGAAATAGAATAACTACAAAATAGAAAACGAGACTTGTAGGAAAAGGTACCATAAACTGACAATCTAAAATAAGATATCCATAATACCTTATTACGATAAGATAAAAAAGATCAATAAAATATCCATGAGAAAACACAGGATATCACAATATGAATACTTGAAATAAAATACCTAAAATATTGGAAAATGAGCGTTTACAGATACCTTAAGTTTTAGTATTTGAATAAAATATCCATAAGGTGGAAAATTTAAAAGATATGGGACTTGGACATATTTCTTTTATGTGTTATACAATAATTTATCAATTGACGTCAAAGACGCTTGTCTTCTGTTTGGCATGCCCGATGAATGTTAGTTCAGCCAACTAATTGTTACTATTATATTATATTTCTATTATTATGTATTTGGATTATGCTGTGACGATATGTAATGTTATTTCACTTGAAGTCAAAACCTCAGGCACGAAAGATGCATCATCATCTTAGATCTTGTCACGTCACAGTCGTGACTGATATTAATAAATACCTGGCATGCCACCAACCCAATCCACCACTCATAGTAGTGTTGGTGCCCAGGTTCATACATACTTGCGACGTGTTTTCGAAAGAGTTGACTGGCCGTACCTTGACGGTTGTGTTTGTATTGGAGAGGCAAGTTAACGTTTCTACAAGTTTGACGTAGTCGCAGAAAGACGTCAAGCAACTCACTTCTGCTCGTTTCGTAGCTCCCATGTTTTAGATAAAACTATTTACGATTTCTTTCCAACACTCGAAACGGTAAGTGTAGTATTCTTCGTTATTGATTTAATACAAAGTTAAGTAATTAACGAGAATCTTTGATCAAAAGAAAGGTCATAAGAATACAACAAACTTACTAGAATAATATTGTTTAAGATCAAACATTCATTAGAATGTGTTAATTTATGTTCTTAACATTGAACTCCTGCAGTAACTGTAATATCATCTATTTTAATTCAGGCTTGCTGAATTCCTGACTTCTGCTTATACGATGCCTTACCTGAAGCGGTCCAGGTAAGTTTCATGT